TGTGAGCTGTCTGAGGAAACAAATGCCCCGAAAAACCACTGTTTAAAAAGGAAAACATTATGGAAACATTCAGATGCCTCTCTCTGCAAGAAGGTTAGTCAATATTTAGTCTTCTCTCCTCACAGGTGTTCAGGCTCACCTGTGTATTTACACCAACAAATCCTCCAACATACAGTGTTTGTCCCGTAGTATAGGCTCCACATGACAGTTCTACTGGAAACACACTGGACTTTTGTCCTCAAGGAAACAATCACAAACACACTGTTACAATTATGGAACCATCACAATTTCATTAGGTCTAAACGCAAAAACAACTCGGTCAGGTTTAGAAAAAAGATTTTGGTTTGGATTAAAGAAACTGTCATCGTCATGGGTCCAATAATGAACACGTGGTTAAGGTTGTGGAACGAATCAAACACTGGTCTCCTGTGGGAAAGTTTTCTGACCACAGCCTTCCCAACCTTCTCCTTGCTCTTTAAACTACGTCATCCAGCTTCCTCATTTGATCATATCATAATTACTACGGTCGCTAGAGGTCACCTGACTATACTGCGTTAGGCAGGTGACCTACAAAGAGAGATGACCCCGGTCATACGTGCTCTGATGAAGCTATTTCTGACTCCTTTGTTGCCAGGGTAATAAAAATGTACCTTTATTTTAACTACTCAGTTTGGTTGCCACTTAAAGATTTACTCCTTGATTTGTTTTAGCTGCATCACCACCCCTAAATGTCCTTTTAACATACTGACAATATATTGTGGGGGGGGGGGCGGCAAACGAACAGACAACATAAATGTCTCTGGTGTGAAATGATGAACTGCGACAGCGGGTCGACCTTGTGCCTACAACCAGCATTTGAACCTTAAGCTGTTCTGATCTATTAGCACCATTAATCCAGGAAGTAAAAAGTTTAGGCAGCGGTAACATTATAATTTCCTACTAAATTTCACATTGCCACAATTTGTATATTGTATAGAGTGTATTCTTTTAACAGTTGTTCAGATCTTGTACCCCAACACTTGGCTGTATTGCCTCTTTTTCAACGCACAAGAAAGATTTCAATAAATACTTTTTAGTATAATATGACATATTACATGCTAAAGGTTTTAGGACGTCCATAAAATGATCAAATTTTACTTTTATACCTGAGCTCATTTTGTGCACTTGCTGTAATTCTATTCTTTAAGAGGTGCTTTTTGTGATGAGATTATTAATTCCAATTGAGTGTTTAAGCAACATGTCTGTTTTGTGCAATAGCTGCACGTATCACAACTTTTAAAAAATGTATGGTATGTATTCTTCATCTGTAATTATCAGTCTGACGCTGGCAAACCTCCTACACCTGAAGCAGTACAATCTTGCTGTCACAAACCATTATGTTGAACGAGAGTCAGTGGCACCTGATGGCCCCATGCGGCCCTCTAATCATTATCTAACCCCTCACCTCTGGATGGCACAGGGGGAAATGTTGGAAGCCAAAATGACAATGTAATTGAGCCCGGGTCTTTCTTTATTAGTCCCAAATTCCTGAGGAAATGCCAGACGCCGGCGAGTGTGAGGAAGTCAGGACTTTTTCACAGGGATTTAAAAAAGACTCTTTAGCTACAAATCTGGATCTGAGACTTTCCAGTGCACCACAGTGTGTTTACTGCTACGGAGCCTAAATGGACCGATCACTGTGATACATACAACAAAATAAAAGTATAGTAGGGGAAATGAAATGTGATTAGGATTTATTGATCTGCAGAGTGATGTGAAAGTGCCCTACGTCTTGATTTGGTCACGTGGAGGGAGAAGCTGTCATAAACTGTTAAATAACCTGGATAACTTGCTCGACATTTACAGCAGCTCCTGTGTGTCGTAAATGTCTGGACTTCTTATCAAAGGGCCCCAGAGAAAGGCATTATATTGTTATTTTCACTTTAAAATAATTTTATAATATGCCATAAAGTGAAGCGATCTCTCCCCCCATTTTTATTAGGCTATAAAATGTGAAATGAAAATACCTGCTGAGTCAACAGTAAGACTGTCATCCCCTCTTTTTAAGATCACCTGCCATCTATTACAGGCATATGCTACATGAGAATAAGAAATTCTGTAAACTGTGCATTTAGTTTGACCTACAAAGAATATTTTCTAAATGTTACAAGGTGCCATAATGGTAAAGGCTGAGTTATATTTGTTGTAACAGTAACGTCATATTGATATTTGACCTTGCTAAAGAATATGTCCACTTGATAAAGACAATTTCGGGCTGTTTTTATTTTGTATAATGTGCAGGATTCATTCGGTGCCTGTTTAGCCGGAGGAGAGAGCTGCAGAAACGGTCATTTTAACGGAACAGCCGTCGTACTCACCACTTTGCCTCTGCAGGACCCCGGACCCCATCCTGATCACCTCACACAGCAACGATATCACAATGGCAAAGAGTCGCAAATGCATCTGGGCTGCTGGCAAGCGCCCGCTTCAGCGCCAGGCTGCGGACATCTGCAAGGACTCCTGGGGTGTCAGTGTTAGGATTTAGTTCCACAGCGAGGGGCAGAAAAAGACCAGAAGGGATAGGGGAAAAGATGAAGGGATGGATGGAAGTGAAGTGGAGGCCAAAAGCAGCGAGAAAAAACAATGAGTGTTAAGGTGAGATAAGAGGAGAGACGAGAGAAAAGCCTCATGTGCTCCGTTTCACGCAGAAGATTTAGTGCTAAGATGAGACAGGCGACCTTAAACAACAAAAACAGAGCATAGGAGTAGAGAGGAGACTGGTAAGGAGAGCAGAGAGGAGACTGGTAAGGAGAGCAGAGTGGTAAGGAGAGCAGACTGGTAAGGAGAGCAGAGAGGAGACTGGTAAGGAGAGCAGAGAGGAGACTGGTAAGGAGAGCAGAGAGGAGACTGGAGGTAAGGAGAGCAGAGAGCCTCGCCTGCTTTCCCACACTGGCAGCTTGGAGGGGAAACTCACCATTTAACTACCACTGTCAAATTTACGACAAACGATCCCCATTTATCCCGTAGCCAGCGTTAACCCTTTACGGGGTCCTCGCTCGGGCCTAAGTGGTTCCGTATTTCCAGCTTGATCTGTAGCCCCCTCCTCCTGGCTCCCTCTACTGCTGTTCGGGCTATTCTTTTTATTTTTCTTGTCTGGTGTACTGGGCAGCTTTGTTTTCTGTGGAAATCCTATTAAATACAAGCAGCCAGTAAACTTAATTTGACCACCGTAAAAAGGAGGGGAGCAGCCGCACAACGGCACAGTTGAGAGGTTCAAATGTTATTATAGCCTACCATGTTTTTGCAGTTGATTAGCTGGATAATGTGTCAGGTATGTAAGAGGTCTGAGATGAAGAGGCCCCGGCCCTCTGGCCCTGGGCTTGGGCCCCGGTCCTTTGGCCCCAGTCCTCTGGTCCCGGTCCTTTGGCCCCAGTCCTCTGGTCCCGGTCCTTTGGCCCCAGTCCTCTGGTCCCGGTCCTTTGGCCTCAGTAGCGCTGCTTCACGTTTTCATCTGTCCTGACTCAGTCGTCATGACCTTGACAAATTATACATTAAAAGTTTTAAGTCTCCTGATTTAATCTAGAATCTCCATATCATGCAACAGCTGATTTTCGTTTTGTAGTGGGTTGCGCGCACACACAAAGACGCACACAAATCCGCGCTTCCTTTTGTGGTCGTCTGTGTGCAAAGGCACATGTCCAAGTGCTAAAAACATTGCACCATTTTCACCACAGTATTCTAATAAACAAACTGCACCTGAGCTTTAGCGGAATAAATGTGCTCTCGTGGAGGAAAAGGCCAAAAACTTAAGAAGTTTGTGAGGCGTCTGGTAACAAGACATACTCCGATAACAGATATGAGGCAAATGTAGCTCTGTGGTTTATTATAAACCTTCCTATTGGGCCTGGTGTAATGTACATTGAAGGACTCATCCAATTGGTTGATTACTGCTAAAAAAGCATGAAACTTTTTTGACATCCTGCCAGACAGTCCAAAAATTACATTTATCTACAATTCATCTTTCACTTTGGTGAAGAGTTTGGTAAGGATATTTAATGGCCATTAGAGGTAGGACAACAAAGGTGTTTTTGGTTTTACAGGATTGTTCCATCAGTGTGATGAATTATGGTAAGTGTTTGTTAGTGCACAGCATTAGTCAAAGATAATTTAGAAATAATTTCTCAACCAAAGTCCCAGAAAATGTCATCACTATAAAAACAAACGTCCATATCAGTGCTGTATGTATTACATTGTTAAGGTTTGGTTAAGACCCTCATTGTGATTAAATGGGCATCAAGTCATATTGTGTGGCATAATTGAAGTCATTTTTAACCATGGCCACTGTTTCTCTAACCTGCATTAAAAATGTTTCAAATATGTGTTTGCTGTTCCAGGGACAGTGTTGGTTAAAGGTAGGGTTGGTGTTTCCTACCTGAAGCATTTTTCTTTTTTACATATCTTGAATTTCTCTTTTCATCCTGATGGCAATGAATACATTAAATGCACCGACTACATAAATAAAAAATTCCCTTTTCTGTGGCAGCAGCAGGGCTGAAAAGTGTCTGACCAATCATTTTACCCATCCCAGGCTAAACCAGTGGACAGCCTACCTACCTACCTGTCAACTTGCTTCCTACTTGTGTGCACACTGTCCTTGCACTCAATGTGTGAGCCAGGAATCTCCCACAAGGCATTGCAGTTGCATGCAGATGTGTTGCTCTGTTTTGATAGCTAAAGCTAGTGAGCTATGACTAAAAAGGTCCCCACAGCAGCTTTTGTTTGCAAACAGAGACCGTTGTTACAGGCCAGGCCTTCCTCTTTAAGACACATGGCCTTATAGGTAACGCTGGTGCTGTTGGCAGAAGTTGGGACCTGCACTATGAAAGCGAGAAGACGGAGCAGACTCCTTTTACATGCAGCCACAGGTGGAAAAATACCACCAGTAGCCAGCTCTAAGTGTATAGACAGGACTAGAATGCAGTTAACTGGGCACTAGCACAGGTCATTGTCACTTTTGTTTTGTTTGTGGGGAATTTGTTATTTTCCTTAAATCTGTAACTAGTAATCAGGCAGTGCATGGCGTGTTTTGGAGGAGAGACTTTGGAGAGAAGTCAGAATAAAACAGTGGGATTTCTTCAGTTGTCTGCTTTCAAAATCGAGCTCCCTCTTGTTGGTTTTACCAGGATCTACAACCCTACTTTTAAATGATATTACTAGCAAGGAAATGTTGTTCTCACTATGAAAAGGATTTATTTTATTTTCTACTGGATAACAAGCAACGTCTCTTAAGAATGGACAGTCATTCAGCAAGAATGAAGAAGAGAGTGCAAGATCTACAACAGTGAAGCAGGTAAATTCCCACTCACTGTGTAGGCCCACAGTATATTTACAGTAAGTAGTGCACCTGAAACATCTCTGGTAAATGTACAAATCAAATACAATCTAAGCAAATTATCTTGTCAGTGTTAGGGAAGCTACTTTGAAAAGCTTTGGAAGTTAGAAGAAGGGAAAAATCCAGTTTGTTTAACTAAAGCTACTTAAAAAAAGTAGCTCAAACTACTTTATAAAAAAATTATCAAAATGAATGTGTACATACAAAATAATTTTAAAAATGTTAAAATGTCAGATGTCAGTAAAAACCTGTCCTACTGTAAATAAAAAAATCCATTTGGACTTTCCACAAGGATAAAACTGGATTTTGTATTATCGGACTACAACCAAAACAGTAAAGAAAAATACAGTAAATATGTATATTTAACCTTTTAGACCCCTTTTTGAGCACTGGTTGGTTTCAGTTTTGTACTGTTTGACTTGTATGATCTTAAAAACTAAAACTTGTACCTTTTTAAAAAGTCTTAGCTTGAACACATTACTTGATGGAGCAGAATCTTGTTTACATGACACATGAATCATCTCTCAAAGGTGGGTATCACAATAGTAACAGAAGATTAAAATTCATTTCTTTCCTTTTATGGCCCCAAATTATTTGTAGTTTCAGTAATTAACTTCCCAAAAAGTGCCAGAAAGGTTACTGAACTACTTGAATCACTATACAAATATAGACTAAATGTAGTTGAACTACCAGGAAACTACTGCAAAATGTAGTTGAACTACTACTAAATGTAGTTCACTGCTACCCATCAAAGTATTTTGCTCTCTAATGTGCAAACAAGTTGCAAATGCTCAGATAATACATGTACACACAATGGATGCATGGTACAAACATTACACAACAAAAACAGCTACAAACTAATCCAATCAAATACACAGACGCACACCCCCCCCCCCCCCCCCATCATCAAACTATTAATCGCCTGTCAGTCATCGAGTTACGCTGCTTTCAAATATGTTTACATCAGTTATGCTGTGGATAAACAGACTAAACTAATAATAATAACAGACTTTCTGTTGTTTTTACAGATAACTGGTTACACAAAACTGTTGCATTATTAATATCTCTGTATCTTAGCCCTTGTTAGGTATTTTTAGTCAGATAGATATTGGATAGATACTTTATGTATTAGAAATGTTTAGTGGAGATAGGATGTCTAGTTAGACTGTTAAATGCTTAGTCATGCTTATGAGTTTCTACAGGGTACATCTGGTCAAGGATAACTAGAGAGAAGAGTTGATGACTGTCA